CAGAGACATTCACAGAGACATTCACAGAGACATTCATAGACAGAGACATTCACAGACAGAGACATTCACAGAGACAGAGAGACATTCACAGAGACATTCACAGAGACATTCACAGAGACATTCACAGAGAGACATTCACAGACAGAGACATTCACAGACATTCACAGACAGAGACATTCACAGACAGACATTCACAGACAGACATTCACAGAGACATTCACAGAGACATTCACAGACAGAGACATTCACAGACAGAGACATTCACAGACAGACATTCACAGACAGAGACATTCACAGACAGACATTCACAGACAGACATTCACAGAGACATTCATAGAGACATTCACAGACAGAGACATTCACAGAGACATTCACAGACAGACATTCACAGAGACATTCTTCTCTCCCGGTTATGTGTTGTATAATGCCAATATAACGGGCCCCGGCACGGTGCGCCATGAGATTGGGGGATCCTCACCACACATAACAAGGTGCCCCTCCCACAATGGGGAGATTCCCACCCAGTAGTTTGTGTCTTGGGAAGGGGGGGGAGGGTCAGCATCCAGCAGGAGTTCTCATCCTCATGTTTCATTATATTGTAGATCGGATCCCTGGAGCTCCGGCAGTGATTGGTCTCTCCCGGCAGTGATTGGGTCTCCCGGCAGTGATTGGTCTCCCGGCAGTGATTGGTCTCCCCGGCAGTGATTGGTCTCCCCGGCAGTGATTGGTCTCCCCGGCAGTGATTGGTCTCCCGGCAGTGATTGGTTCTCCCGGCAGTGATTGGTCTCCCGGCAGTGATTGGTTCTCTCCCCGGCAGTGATTGGTCTCCCGGCAGTGATTGGTTCTCCCCGGCAGTGATTGGTTCTCCCCGGCAGTGATTGGTTCTCCCCGGCAGTGATTGGTTCTCCCCGGCAGTGATTGGTCTCCCGCAGTGATTGGTTCTCCCCGGCAGTGATTGGTTCTCCCCGGCAGTGATTGGTTCTCCCCGGCAGTGATTGGTCTCCCGGCAGTGATTGGTTCTCCCCGGCAGTGATTGGGTCTCCCGGCAGTGATTGGTCTCCCCGGCAGTGATTGGTCTCCCCGCAGTGATTGGTCTCCCCGGCACCTCTGAGATCATGGAGGACGTCTGTTAGAAGGAGGCCAGGTGGAGGTCTCGGGTGATAATGACCAGCTGGGAGGGTCTGCCTTCCATCCCCCGCTAAGACCTCCGGGACTGACCACTCCAGGTATGACACAAAAACTCACCTCATCCTCCTCTAGAGAATACACGGTTCCAGCTCCATGAGATCAATGAACCCCCCATATATAGCCTCAGTCTGCCCCCCCCCATATAGAGCCTCAGCATGCCCCCCCTATAGATCCTCAGCGTGCCCCCCTATAGATCCTCAGCGTGCCCCCCTATAGATCCTCAGCGTGCCCCCCCATATAGAGCCTCAGCGTGCCCCCCCCATATAGAGCCTCAGCATGCCCCCCATATAGATCCTCAGCGTGCCCCCCATATAGATCCTCAGCGTGCCCCCCATATAGATCCTCAGCGTGCCCCCCATATAGATCCTCAGCATGCCCCCCATATAGATCCTCAGTGTGCCCCCCATATAGAGCCTCAGCATGCCCCCCCTATAGATCCTCAGCATGCCCCCCATATAGATCCTCAGCATGCCCCCCTATAGATCCTCAGCGTGCCCCCCCTATAGATCCTCAGCGTGCCCCCCCCTATAGATCCTCAGCGTCTGCCCCCCTATAGATCCTCAGCGTGCCCCCCATATAGATCCTCATCGTGCCCCCTATATAGATCCTCAGCGTGCCCCCCCATAGATCCTCAGCGTGCCCCCCATATAGATCCTCAGTGTGCCCCCTATATAGATCCTCAGCATGCCCCCCATATAGAGCCCTCAGCGTGCCCCCCATATAGATCCTCAGCGTGCCCCCCCCATATAGAGCCTCAGCGTGCCCCCCCCCATATACAGCATCAGCATGCTCCCCCCATATAGAGCCTCAGCTTTCCCCCCCCATATAGAGCCTCAGTCTGCCCCCCCCCATATAGAACCTCAGCGTGCCCCCCATATAGAGCCTCAGCATGCCCCCCATATAGGGCCTCAGTCTGCCCCCCCCCCATATAGATCCTCAGCATGCCCCCCCTATAGATCCTCAGCGTGCCCCCCATATAGAGCCTCAGCGTGCCCCCCATATAGGGCCTCAGTCTGCCCCCCCCCTATGTATGTAGATCTCAGCATGCCCCCCCTATAGAGCCTCAGTGTGCCCCCCCCCGATATAGAGCATCAGCATGCCCCCCCATATAGAGCCTCAGCTTTCCCCCCCATATAGAGCCTCAGTCTGCCCCCCCCCCCCATATAGAGCCTCAGCATATTAGAGCCTGCCCCCCATATAGAGCCTCAGTCTGCCCCCCCCATATAGAGCCTCAGTGTGCCCCCCTCCATATAGAGCCTCAGCATGCCCCCCCCCATATAGAGCATCAGTCTGCCCCCCCCAGTGTGCCCCCCATATAGAGCCCAGCCGCCTGCCCCCCCCCCCATATATAGAGCCTCAGCATGCCCCCCCCATATAGAGCCCTCAGCGTGTGCCCCCCCCCATATAGAGCCTCAGCGTGCCCCCCCCCATATAGAGCCTCAGTCCCCCCCCCCCCATATAGAGCATCAGTCTGTGTGCCCCCCCTCCATATAGAGCCTCAGCGTGCCCCCCCATATAGTGCCTCAGTCTGCCCCCCCCATATAGAGCCTCAGTCTGCCCCCCCCCATATAGAGCCTCAGTCTGCCCCCCCCCATATAGAGCCTCAGTCTGCCCCCCCCCCCATATAGAGCCTCAGTCTGTGCCCCCCCATATAGAGCCTCAGTCTGCCCCCCATATAGAGCCTCAGTGTGCCCCCCCATATAGAGCCTCAGTGTGCCCCCCCCATATAGAGCCTCAGTCTGCCCCCCCCCCATATAGAGCCTCAGTCTGCCCCCCCCATATAGAGCCCTCAGTCTGCCCCCCCCCCCATATAGAGCCTCAGTCTGCCCCCCCCATATAGAGCCTCAGTCTGCCCCCCCATATAGAGCCTCAGTCGCCCCCCCCCCCATATAGAGCCTCAGTCTGCCCCCCCATATAGAGCCTCAGCGTGTGCCCCCCATATAGAGCCTCAGTCTGCCCCCCCCCATATAGAGCCTTAACATGCCCCCCCCATATAGAGCCTCAGTCTGCCCCCCCATATAGAGCCTCAGCGTGCCCCCATATAGAGCATCCTGCCCCCCATATAGAGCCTCAGTCTGCCCCCCCCATATAGAGCCTCAGCGTGCCCCCCCATATAGAGCCTCAGCAGCCCCCCATGAGCCCCCCCCCATATAGAGCCTCAGCGTGCCCCCCATATAGAGCCTCAGTCTGCCCCCCCCATATAGAGCCTCAGCATGCCCCCCATATAGAGCATCAGTCTGCCCCCCCATATAGAGCATCAGTCTGCCCCCCCATATAGAGCCTCAGCTGTATCCCCCCCATATAGAGCCTCAGCATGCCCCCCATATATAGCCTCATCGTGTGCCCCCCATATAGAACCTCAGTCCCCCCATATGTGCCCCCCCCCTATAGAGCCTCAGTGTGCCCCCCATATAGAGCCTCAGCGTTGCCCCCCCATATAGAGCCTCAGCGTGCCCCCCATATAGAGCCTCAACATGCCCCCCCCCATATAGAGCCCATCAGTGTGCCCCCCATATATGTGCCCCCCATATAGACCCCCATTGTGCCCCCCCATATAGATCCTCATATGTGCCCCCCATATAGACCCATATTGTGCCCCCCCATATAGAGCCTCATATTGTGCCCCCCCATATATAGAGCCCCAACATGCCCCCCCCCATATAGACCCATATTGTGCCCCCCCATATAGACCCATATTGTGCCCCCCATATAGACCCATATTGTGCCCCCCATATAGACCCATATTGTGCCCCCCATATACAGCTGCTGCCTCTGGGAAGGGGGGGGTCATTGCTGTGGCTGAGTAGATGTATGTCTGGTAGATGGACCTCCTGCGGCAGCCCCGTGGACGTCCCTCGGGGGAAGGTGGAGAGTCAAACGCAACACAACTTGTGTTCAATCTGGAAAATACATTTATTGTACAAAATACATTGTGGGGAACTTATCATGATTGGAGCATTCCGACCAATCAGCTTCTGCGTCTCATTTCCAGAGCCGCACTGAACAAGCTGAAGTTAGAAGCTGATTGGTTGCTATGCTCAGCTGATTGGTTGCTATGCTCAGCTGATTGGTTGCTATGCTCAGCGGCTTCAGATTCTGTCTTCTCCAGTTGTGATAAACATCCCCCAGCAGGTTCTGGGTGTACAGACTCTCCTTGTGGGCCCCCCAGCAGGTTCTGGGCGTACAGACTCTCCTTGTGGCCCCCCAGCAGGTTCTGGGCGTACAGACTCTCCTTGTGGGCCCCCCAGCAGGTTCTGGGCGTACAGACTCTCCTTGTGTGGGCCCCCCAGCAGGTTCTGGGCGTACAGACTCTCCTCGTGGGCCCCCCAGCAGGTTCTGGGCGTACAGACTCTCCTTGTGGGCCCCCCAGCAGGTTCTGGGCGTACAGACTCTCCTTGTGGGCCCCCCAGCAGGTTCTGGGCGTACAGACTCTCCTTGTGGGCCCCCCAGCAGGTTCTGGGCGTACAGACTCTCCTCGTGGGGGCCCCCCAGCAGGTTCTGGGCGTACAGACTCTCCTTGTGGGGCCCCCAGCAGGTTCTGGGCGTACAGACTCTCCTTGTGGGCCCCCCAGCAGGTTCTGGGCGTACAGACTCTCCTTCTGGGCGGGTGGGCCCCCAGCAGGTTCTGGGCGTACAGACTCTCCTTGTGGGCCCCCCAGCAGGTTCTGGGCGTACAGACTCTCCTCGTGGGCCCCCCAGCAGGTTCTGGGTGTACAGACTCTCCTCGTGGGCCCCCCAGCAGGTTCTGGGTGTACAGACTCTCCTCGTGGGGCCCCCCAGCAGGTTCTGGGTGTACAGACTCTCCTCGCGGGCCCCCCAGCAGGTTCTGGGCGTACAGACTCTCCTCGTGGGCCCCCCAGCAGGTTCTGGGCGTACAGACTCTCCTTTTGGGCCCCCCAGCAGGTTCTGGGCGTACAGACTCTCCTTGTGGGCCCCCCAGCAGGTTCTGGGTGTACAGACTCTCCTCGCGGGGCCCCCAGCAGGTTCTGGGTGTACAGACTCTCCTCGTGGTTCCCCCAGCAGGTTCTGGGTGTACAGACTCTCCTTGTGGGCCCCCAGCAGGTTCTGGGTGTACAGACTCTCCTTGTGGGCCCCCCAGCAGGTTCTGGGTGTACAGACTCTCCTTGTGGTTCCCCCAGCAGGTTCTGGGTGTACAGACTCTCCTTGTGGGCCCCCCAGCAGGTTCTGGGCGTACAGACTCTCCTCGCGGGCCCCCCAGCAGGTTCTGGGCGTATAGACTCTCCTCGTGGGTCCCCCCAGCAGGTTCTGGGCGCACAGACTCTCCTTGTGGGCCCCCCAGCAGGTTCTGGGCGTACAGACTCTCCTCGCGGGCCCCCCAGCAGGTTCTGGGTGTACAGACTCTCCTCGTGGGCCCCCAGCAGGTTCTGGGCGTACAGACTCTCCTCGCGGGCCCCCCAGCAGGTTCTGGGCGTACAGACTCTCCTCGCGGGCCCCCCAGCAGGTTCTGGGCGTACAGACTCTCCTCGCGGGCCCCCCAGCAGGTTCTGGGCGTACAGACTCTCCTCGCGGGCCCCCCAGCAGGTTCTGGGCGTACAGACTCTCCTCGTGGGCCCCCCAGCAGGTTGGGCGTACAGACTCTCCTCGGGGGCCCCCCAGTACAGACTCTCCTCGCGGGCCCCCCAGCAGGTTCTGGGCGTACAGACTCTCCTCGTGGGCCCCCCAGCAGGTTCTGGGCGTACAGACTCTCCTTGTGGGTCATCAGCCTTGTATGAAGGATGTTGTTAGCAGCAGAGGCTTCTGGGAGAACCTCCACCTGTCTATATTTGACCATAGGGCTCCTCACAGATAGGGAGCTGCCTGCCTCCCCCCATGCAGTGTGGACGGCGGACAGGGACGATTAGTAGGCAGTGCAGTGACACTGGACAGAAACTGTCACACAGGAAGTTTTAATTACATTGAGGGTCCCTGCATAGCGGTGCCTATTCTATCACTTTGAGGGTCCCTCCATGGCGGTGCCTGCTGTATCACATTGAGGGTCCCTCCATGGCGGTGCCTGTTGTATCACACTGTTGCTCCCTCCATGGCGGTCGGTGCCTGCTGTATCAGATTGTTGGTCCCTCCATGGCAGTGCCTGTTGTTGTATCACACTGTTGGTCCCTCCAGGGCGGTGCCTGTTGTATCAGATTGTTGGTCCTCCAGGGCGGTGCCTGTTGTATCACATTGTTGGTCCTCCAGGGCGGGGTCCGTTGTATCACATTGAGTGCTCCTCCAGGGCGGTGCTTGTTGTATCACATGGAGGGTCCTTCCATAGTGGTGACTTTTGTATCACACTGTTGGTCCCTTCAGGGCGGTGCCTGTTGTATCACATTGAGGGTCCCTCCATGGCGGTGCCTGCTGTATCACATTGAGGGTCCCTCCATGGCGGTGCCTGTTGTATCACACTGTTGCTCCCTCCATGGCGGTGCCTGCTGTATCACACTGTATCACATGCCTGAGCGCTCCTCCAGGGCGGTGCCTGCTGTATCACATTGAGCGCTCCTCTAGGGCGGTGCCTGTTGTATCACATTGAGCGCTCCTCTAGGGCGGTGCCTGTTGTATCACATTGAGCGCTCCTCCTAGGGCGGTGCCTGTTGTATCACATTGAGCGCTCCTCCAGGGCGGTGCCTGTTGTATCACATTGAGCGCTCCTCCAGGGCGGTGCCTGTTGTGGCTGGATACACTGAAGGACAGGAACCTCCCAGAATGTCCGGCTCCCATTCAGGGTCAGTAAAGCTCGGTGTGGTTCTTGCTCTTCTTCCGCTTGGTCTTAGCAGAAGGTGCCGGGATCTCTAGAGATTCCAGCCGGAATGGCCGAGGTAAAGGTGTGCGTCCATGGACTGGATGGGGGACACGGAACTTCGACTTGACGTCAGGATGGATGGAGATGTGTTCAGGGGGGTGGGATATGCCGGAGACGTGCCGTGAAGGCCTGCAGAGAGGATCAACATGACACATCAATACTTATTACGCCCAGGACTAACCTCCAGGGAACAGAACATCATGTAGGGACAATAGAGAGGAGTGTGCAGGTGAGGGCCCTTCCTCGTGTAGGGACAATAGAGAGGCGTGTACAGGTGAGGGCCCTTCCTCGTGTAGGGACAATAGAGAGGCGTGTACAGGTGAGGGCCCTTCCTCGTGTAGGGACAATAGAGAGGAGTGTACAGTGAGGGCCTTCCTCATGTAGGGACAATAGAGAGGAGTGTGCAGGTGAGGGCCCTTCCTCATGTAGGGACAATAGAGAGGAGTGTGCAGGTGAGGGCCCTTCCTCATGTAGGGACAATAGAGAGGAGTGTGCAGGTGAGGGCCCTTCCTCATGTAGGGACAATAGAGAGGAGTGTGCAGGTGAGGGCCCTTCCTCATGTAGGGACAATAGAGAGGAGTGTTAGCAGGTGAGGGCCCTTCCTCATGTAGGGACAATAGAGAGGAGTGTGCAGGTGAGGGCCCTTCCTCATGTAGGGACAATAGAGAGGAGTGTGCAGGTGAGGGCCCTTCCTCATGTAGGGACAATAGAGAGGAGTGTGCAAGGTGAGGGCCCTTCCTCATGTAGGGACAATAGAGAGGAGTGTACAGGTGAGGGCCCTTCCTCATGTAGGGACAATAGAGAGGAGTGTGCAGGTGAGGGCCCTTCCTCATGTAGGGACAATAGAGAGGAGTGTACAGGTGAGGGCCCTTCCTCATGTAGGGACAATAGAGACGAGTGTACAGGTGAGGGCCCTTCCTCGTGTAGGGGACAATAGAGAGGAGTGTGCAGGTGAGGGCCCTTCCTCGTGTAGGGACAATAGAGAGGCGTGTACAGGTGAGGGCCCTTCCTCGTTGTAGGGACATAGAGAGGCGTGTACAGGTGAGGGCCCTTCCTCGTGTAGGGGACAATAGAGAGGAGTGTACAGGTGAGGGCCCTTCCTCATGTAGAGGTCATAGAGAGGCGTGTACAGGTGAGGGCCCTTCCTCATGTAGGGACAATAGAGAGGAGTGTACAGGTGAGGGCCCTTCCACATGTAGGGACAATAGAGAGGAGTGTACAGGTGAGGGCCCTTCCTCATGTAGAGGTCATAGAGAGGCGTGTACAGGTGAGGGCCCTTCCTCATGTAGAGGTCATAGAGAGGAGTGTACAGGTGAGGGCCCTTCCTCATGTAGAGGTCATAGAGAGGTGTGTACAGGTGAGGGCCCTTCCACATGTAGAGACAATAGAGAGGAGTGTACAGGTGAGGGCCCTTCCTCATGTAGAGGTCATAGAGAGGCGTGTACAGGTGAGGGCCCTTCCTCATGTAGAGGTCATAGAGAGGTGTGTACAGGTGAGGGCCCTTCCTCATGTAGAGGTCATAGAGAGGAGTGTACAGGTGAGGGCCCTTCCTCATGTAGAGGTCATAGAGAGGGCGTGTACAGGTGAGGGCCCTTCCTCATGTAGGGACAATAGAGAGGGACAAAAGAGTGTACAGGTGAGGGCCCTTCCACATGTAGAGGTCATAGAGAGGCGTGTACAGGTGAGGGCCCTTCCTCATGTAGGGACAATAGAGAGGAGTGTACAGGTGAGGGCCCTTCCACATGTAGAGGTCATAGAGAGGCGTGTGCAGGTGAGGGCCCTTCCTCATGTAGAGGACAATAGAGAGGCGTGTACAGGTGAGGGCCCTTCCTCATGTAGAGACAATAGAGAGTGTGTACAGGTGAGGGCCCTTCCTCATGTAGAGGTCATAGAGAGGAGTGTACAGGTGAGGGCCCTTCCTCATGTAGGGACAATAGAGAGGAGTGTACAGGTGAGGGCCCTTCCTCATGTAGAGGTCATAGAGAGGCGTGTACAGGTGAGGGCCCTTCCACATGTAGAGGTCATAGAGAGAGGCGTGTACAGGTGAGGGCCCTTCCACATGTTGAGGACAATAGAGAGGCGTGTACAGGTGAGGGCCCTTTCTCATGTAGGGACAATAGAGAGGCGTGTACAGGTGAGGGCCCTTCCTCATGTAGGGACAATAGAGAGGAGTGTACAGGTGAGGGCCCTTCCTCATGTAGAGGTCATAGAGAGGCGTGTACAGGTGAGGGCCCTTCCACATGTTGAGACAATAGAGAGGCGTGTACAGGTGAGGGCCCTTCCACATGTAGAGACAATAGAGAGGCGTGTACAGGTGAGGGCCCTTCCTCATGTAGAGACAATAGAGAGGAGTGTGTACAGGTGAGGGCCCTTCCTCATGTAGGGTCATAGAGAGGAGTGTACAGGTGAGGGCCCTTCCACATGTAGAGGTCATAGAGAGGGCGTGTACAGGTGAGGGCCCTTCCACATGTAGAGGTCATAGAGAGGCGTGTACAGGTGAGGGCCCTTCCACATGTAAAGGTCATAGAGAGGCGTGTACAGGTGAGGGCCCTTCCACATGTAGAGGTCATAGAGAGGAGTGTACAGGTGAGGGCCCTTCCTCATGTAGAGGTCATAGAGAGGCGTGTGCAGGTGAGGGCCCCTTCCTCATGTAGAGGTCATAGAGAGGCGTGTACAGGTGAGGGCCCTTCCTCATGTAGAGGTCATAGAGAGGCGTGTACAGGTAGAGGGCCCTTCCACATGTAGAGGTCATAGAGAGGCGTGTGCAGGTGAGGGCCCTTCCTCATGTAGAGGTCATAGAGAGGCGTGTGCAGGTGAGGGGGCCCTTCCACATGTAGAGGTCATAGAGAGGCGTGTGCAGGTGAGGGCCCTTCCTCATGTAGAGGTCATAGAGAGGCGTGTACAGGTGAGGGCCCTTCCACATGTAGAGGTCAATAGAGAGGCGTGTACAGGTGAGGGCCCTTCCACATGTAGAGGTCATAGAGAGGCGTGTACAGGTGAGGGCCCTTCCTCATGTAGAGGTCATAGAGAGGCGTGTACAGGTGAGGGCCCTTCCTCATGTAGAGGTCATAGAGAGGCGTGTACAGGTGAGGGCCCTTCCACATGTAGAGAGGGCAATAGAGAGGCGTGTACAGGTGAGGGCCCTTCCACATGTAGAGGTCATAGAGAGGCGTGTACAGGTGAGGCCCTTCCTCATGTAGAGGTCATAGAGAGGCGTGTACAGGTGAGGGCCCTTCCTCATGTAGAGGTCATAGAGAGGCGTGTACAGGTGAGGGCCCTTCCACAGCTCGACATTCCTGCATGGAGGGGCTTGGTGACAGGCGCTAGTATTTGTGGAATGATCCCCTCCCCCCCCCCCCGTAGTGGACTCACCCAGGCTCCTCATGGGGTCAGCGCGCTCAGGATCTGGCTGGCTCTCTTGGATCTGAAGTAATTGCTGGCCAGGTTTTCACTGTC